TTTGCCCATCAATTGGAAACTGGATAAAGAAGATGTGGTTTTTCTATAAAATGGAATATTACTCAGCCATAAAGAGCGAGAGAATAGATTCATTCATAGGAAAATGGATACATAGTGAAGATGTACTCCTAAGTGAAATAAATAAGGCACACATGTGTAAATACCGAATAGTTTCTCTGGTGTGAATAATCTGCAATAATACAGAAAATCCTAATAAGATTACTGACATTTAGAAATGGGAAGAAAGGAGCTAAAGGTGTAGGGAAGGTGGGACGGGTAGGGGAAGGGTGAAAAGGGAAAAGAAAAAAAATGTGAGATAATGAAAAGATGGAAATAAACTGATTGTAGATGGGGAGGGGAGGAGCGGGTGAAGGGAGGGCAGAGGTAAGGGGAAAAATGAGAACCAAGACCTGTCATGTAGAGGTACAAGATCCCAACAATGAATGTAACTGTACTGTATCCTAAAATGTACCAATAAACTCAATTAAAGCTGAAAAAAAAAAGTACAGAAAACTGGAAAAAAAAAAGAAGCCAGGTAAAAAGGGTCACACATCATTTGGTTCCATTTATATGAAATGTCCCAAAAAGGCAAATTTATAGATGGCAAGCAGAATATTGGTTATTCGATCTAGAAGCAAAAGCTGAGAAATTATCACACAGGGTAGGCACCAGGCATCTTCTTCAGGTATGAAATGTTCCCAAACTAGGCTGTGGTAATATTGACACAACTGTAAATTTACTAAAAATTACTGAATTTTACACTTAGAACAGGTGAATTTTATATGCTCATTGTACCTCAATAAAGTAATTTTTAAGAATGCTACATGGATTTTCAACTGTTTATATCTTCCAAATATTTTGCTTTAAACTCTGATTCTTTAAAGTGACAAAACTTTTTCTAATCATTCCTACTTTGCAACCAATACTGTAACTTCTAGTCGATTTTTAACAGATTGTGAACGCTAACTCTCATAAGCTTTATTCATTTTCTTCAATAATCAAGGTGACACTGGATAATGAGTTTCCTTCACTCCTCAATAATCCAATGAGTTGACGTAATCAGGGAAAATGAATGACCTAATCACTCATCCTTTATACTGCTCTACAAAGCTGTAATGATCCTAAAGCCCCTAAATCTGCTAAAGAAATAAAAATATCACGTGTCAAAGAAAATGAATTACACATTCTCTGGCATGTACAGTACAGATCATTGTCTAATTTTGGTATGATACTTTCTTCTGCATCCTGGGTTTTTAATCCTTTTTTGCTCTCCTTCAAGTAGAAAAAAACAATTTACTTTGCTCTTCATTAGACTTTTTTTTTTCTCAAGAGAGTCCCAAGTACAGTACCAATCTCTTTCTTGAGATTTCAAGAATATTTCTTCTAACTCACTTATCTCCTAAAACATATAACCCAGAAAAATATATTATATTTGTTCTCTGTGGTAGTAAATTGACTCTTTGAAGACAGAGATCACGAAAGACTCACATGGATATTCTCTCTGTGGACTAGACACATTCTCAATTACTTGTCCTCCCTCCATTTATTGGTCATCTCCAAGACTCACCAATGGATTTCAGAAGTACCTGGCGTGGGTTGTGTTTGCTCTACAGGGGCTCGATGGCAGGTCCTGCTCCATTATTGTCCCCAACCAATCTTATAAAAGAGAAAATAAATTTCCTCAAGTTGTGGTTCATAGAATGAACCTTGAAATTATATAGACACATAAATGTTTATAAGTAGAAAAAATTTTCCATGTAAAGATTTAATTTAGTATCAGTCTTAGGCTCTAGTTTCATTCCAACCACCTTTCCCCTCATACACTTCTAAATGTTAAATTGTAGGAAAATGTAGTTATAACTATGTATTCATTACTTGTGGTGTGCTTGCTTCCACAGAAATATACTAAAATTGGAATGATACAGAGATCAGCGTGGCCCCTGCGCAAGGATGACATACAAATTTAGGAAGTGTTCCATAGTTTAAGACAATGTAATTATCAAAAGTAGTGTTTCAACCTACCTACCCGTGTACCTGTGAAGACTTGTTGCTATTAAGCAGACATGTTGTTTTCTTATTTACAAACTATTAAACTTGGGCTATTAAATAAAAATTTAAAACAACAGAAATACTTTTAAAGGAAAAGAATGCATGTAGGCAAAAAAGGGGGAGCAGTATTGAGCATTGAACCCATGGCATTCACACTGAGTTATATCCCCAGCCCTTTTTATTTTGAAAGTAGTCTCACTAAGTCACCAAGTTGCCCAGATGGCCTGAACTTGTGATGCCCCTGCCCAGCCTCCCAGAGTGCTGGAATTATAGGTATGCACCACCACACCTGGCTGAAGTCAACTCTTCTCTGGTCTAACAAGTGTCTACTTAAGTGAAAAATTAAATCAATTTCAACAAATACACATTGAATACCCACTCCTTAGTGGAACTTGGAATAGTCAAATGCCAATAAGGAGCAACTTCTGACTTCAAGAAGTGTATAGGTTGTTGGGAAAGAATAAACCATAACTACTTTGTTAGATTTGGATAAGTACAATATTAAATATAAAAACAAAAAGCAGTGGTAACTGGGAATGACTGGAAAAGATTTTAAAGAGCTGATTTGACAAAAAAAAATTAATTCTTAAACTAGAATGCTTGGAAATAGTTTTTTTAAAAAGTAATAATAAAATACTAGAGGTATGGTAGTGCACGCCTGTAATCCCAGCACTCAGGAGGCTGAGGCAGGAGGATCACTGTGAATTCAACACCAGCCTGGGCTACATAGTGAGTTCAAGGCCAGTTTGAACTACATATTTCGACCCTGTCTCAAAAAACAAAACAAACAAAAAGAATTTTGCAGAAGAAAGTCAAGCAAGGTGAGGTATATTATAGTACTGAGTGAATGAAAACATACTCAGAAATCAGACTGAAGTTTAAAATGATAATACAGGTTAGTATTTATTAAGTACTTACTATATGCCAAGTACTATTAGACTTTCCACATACTAATTCATCTGATCTTCATGACCCTGCGAGAAATGTACTATTATAATTCTCATTTTATAGATGACAAAATTTAGGTATACAAAGATTAAGTAACCTGCTCATGGTTGCACAGACACAACTAAAAGTTATGGAGCCAAGTTCTTGAAATCAGTAAATAATAAAGAAAAACAAATCTGTCTCACCCTTGAGCACACATATTATAAGAGCAGCTAACAGGTGTCTTATCTATCTCTTCTCTCATTAATCCCTAGTGTAATTTTCAAGGTCTAGCTCAAACACTGCCTTTCTACAAGGCTTCTCGGTCCTCCCCGCTGAACATAACTACTTTCTAAGCTTCACAGAATTTTATCTATATCAATCTTATGTCATAATTATTTTGTTCTGGGATTACAGATCTTGTGTGCATCATTTCCTCTTTTTTTTTCTGTATTTTGATCCACCTGCTGCTCTCAGAATAGTGCCTCGCATGTAATAAATACAGTACTTATTCTTTGCAGAGCATTGTGCTACGCATTTTAAAGGAATTATATCACAAAAGCCTTACCACACCCAATTCAACATTTCAGCCATTACTGTGAGACAAAATACTAGATGCATCTGAAGTTCAGTGAACAAGAACAGATAATGGATTTTGCCCTCAAGAAACTGACAGTCTAGGGAAGCCAGTGTATTAGTATCCCCAATATAAGATGAGGAAAAGTGGGCCTCAACAAAAGTAATTTGTTTGCCCAGAATCACACAGTGAGTGTTAACAGAATTCAAACCAGCTGTCCAGACTGGATATTCAGGACCCTGTGCACATAAACTGTGTTCTAAAGGAGACACCTGATAAACACCTAAGGAAGGAAAAGTTGGGAATACTTCTGAAATGAAGGATCACCTCAGGGATAATGAAGGGTTTCACTCCTTTTTCAGAGAAAGCAGGAAATGTGTAAAAGTACAGACAGGGGTTGTAGTAGCAGCCTAATGCATGCCTGCTAGCTCATCACAGATCATCAAGTCCATGTTTGATTAGCTTGTCCTCTTAAAGTGAGCCCCACTGCGCAGTGTCCCTTACTTCATAGGCCCTCTTGGGTCTCAAGGCTTTGCTATTCGCTAGGTGGTGTAGCTGAGACACTGACCCTGACACCTGGTGCTCATCTTCCAGACAGTGGAGTAAACGATAAGCAGAGTTCCTTACTTTAACCTGGTGCAGTTATTTTTGAAAGGCGGATCCAGGGCTCCCAAGAGCTCTCCAAGAGGGTGCGAATCCGTCCTTCCATTGGAAGGGTGAGGGGATTACAGGTACCCTACAACTCCTCAGGCATCCCCTCCCAGTACACCAGGAAGCCCGGTCTAGCGCCTCCATTCCAAACTTTCAGACCCCAGGCCTGACAACACCATCTTGGCCGCCACCTTCTTTGGCCTAATCACCTGCACAAACAAAAGTGGTTTTACAGTAGCGACGCCCCTAACTATAAACTATAAATCAGAGACACTTGTCTCGATCTTCATACTTTTTTTTTTTTTTGGACAGGGTCCCGCTACGTAGTTCAGGCTGACCTTGAACTCACTGAAGCCCAAACCAGCCTCGAACTCACGGTGATCCTCCTGCCTCAGTCCCCCGAGCGCTGGGATAACAGGTGTGCGCCACCACGCCCGGCAGTCCTCACACAGGTCTTAACAACCTGACCTGATATCTGATGCACCAAGTTAAGCGGCGAAGACCTCTAAGGACTAGACCCGAGTCCAGGAGTCTTTGGCTGAGGACTCAACCTAAGCCCCTCTTGCAACCGATTTTGAGCGGTAACCATCCGGGACGGAGAAGGC